CACAGCTCACAGCAACCTCCAACTCCTGGGCTCAAGCAAGTCTCCCACCTCAGCCTCCCAAGTAGCTGGGACCACAGGCATCCGCCACAACGCCTGGCTATTTTTTGGTTGCAGCCATCATTGTGGTTTGGCGGGCCTGAGCTGGATTTCAACCCGTCACCTTAGGTGTATGTGGCTGGCGCCTTAGCCACTTGAGCCACAAGTGCCGAGCCAACAAATTCAATTAAAAAGATGTATAGATAGCTAATCAGCATATGAAAAGAAGTTCAACATTAAATGTCATAAGACAACTGCCAATTTAAAAACTGAGATACTGGCTCAGCACCCCTACTCAGTGGTTAGAGTGCTGGCCACACACACCGGGGCTGGTGGGTTTAAACCTGGCCCGGGCCAGCTAAACAACCATGACAACTCCAACAAAAAATAGCCAGGTGTTGTGGTAGGTGCCTGTAGTCCCAGCTACTTGGGAGGCTGAGGCAAGAGAATCGCTTAAACCCAAGAGTTGGAGGTTGCTGTGAGCTGTGACGTCATAGCACTCTACTGAGGGCATAGAGTGAGATTCTATCTCAAACAAACAAAAAAGAGATACAAGTACACACCTACTAGAATGGCTAAAATCTGAAACAATGACAAAGGTCAGCAAACTCATTCATTGCTGGTGGGAATGCAAAATAATACAGCCACTTCTAAGGTCAGTTTGGCAGTTCGTTACAAAGGAAACAGTCTTACCACATGATCCGGCAATCATGCTCCTATATATTTACTCAACCTAAAAATTTAGGTCCATGCAAAAACCTGCACAAGAATGTTTATAGCAGCTTTACTCATAATTGCCAGAAACTGAGAAACCAAACAAGCCCAGAAGCAACCAACATGTCTTTAATAGGTTAAATAATAACCAAACTAGGCTCGGCGCCTGTGGCTCAAGTGGCTAAGGCGCCAGCCACATACACCTAAGGTGGCGGGTTTGAATCCCCAGCCCGGGCCCGCCAAACAACAA